CGCGGGGGGGGTTGCAGGGGGGCTCAGGAGGGTGTTGGGGGGTCTCAGAGGGGGTGGGGGGCACACCCCTGGTGCCCCCTTCCCAGGGGGGCTCCTGCTCCCCGGGGGGATCATGCTGGGGGTTCACATGCCGGGGGAGGGGGCAGTGAAGATTGGGGGGGCTGGGGCTGCGGTGGGGGCACTACCCTGCCACAGGGAGGCTGCTGCTCCTGGGGGGGTCTGGGGGGGTCACGGTGCTGTCACTGTCACCAGTGGGGCCCCCCCTGCTCTGCGGTGCCCACATTGTCCCCACAGTGACCCGGGGGGGTCCTGGGAGGCGATGGGGTGACCCCCAAGCTGGGGACACAGGGGGGGGGGGTCTGGCCACCCCTCCGTTCTGAGGACTGTCACAGTAGTGGTGGGGACAGGGGGTGTCCCTGGGGGGTCCTTCTGGTGTCCCCTCACACCCTTGTCCCTCGTGGTCCCACAGTGACCTGGGGCGGTCCTGGGGGCAATGCTCAGTCCTGGGGGGCGATGGGGTGACCCCCCAAGCTGGGGACACAGTGATGGGGGTCCGGCCACCCCTCTGCCAGGGACAGGTCATAGCAGCAGTGAGGACACACAGGGTGCCTGGGACTGTCCCCACCGTGGCCCCTCACACCCTTGTCCCTCACGGTCCCACGGTGACCTTGGGGGGTTCCCGGGTGATCTCAGTCCTGGGGGCGATGGGGTGACCCCCCAAGCTGGGGACATGGTGCTGGGGGTCCGGCCACCCCTCCTGCCTGGGGACTGCCACGGCAGCAGTGGGGACATGGGGTGTTCCTGGGACTGTCCCCATGGTGTCCTGCCAGTGTCCTCGTACAGCCTCGTCCCTCGCAGTGCCCTCGGCAGGTCCTGGGGGCAGTGGGGTGACCCCCAAGCTGGGGACACGGTGATGGGGGTCCAGCCACCCCTCCTGCCCGGGGACCATCCCCACTGCGTCCCCTCACACGCTCGTCCCTCGTGGTCCCGCAGTGACAGTGACCTCGGCAGAGAGGGGACAGCGGTGACACGCAGTCCTGGGGGGCAACAGGGTAACCCCCAAGCCGGGGACGCGGCAGTGGGGGTCCGGCCACCCCTCCTTCCCGGGGACAGCTCACGGGACGTCCCGGGGCCCGTCCCCGGCGCCGCTCACACCACGATGGGGGTGTCGGAGAACACCGAACTCACCGAGTCGGGGTCAGACACCTTCCTCTGCCCCTTGGGGCCCCGGGGGGCGGCCGGCGGGGGGGTCCCCGCCCCTCCCTTGAACCTGCCGTTCTGCCCGGGGCCCCCCCCCGGGGCAGGCCGGGGCTCGCCGTGCCCCCCGTCGTGGTTGGGGGTGGTGCTGAGCACCGAGGAGTTGATGCTGTCGTCGCGCGGCGCCGGCGCCTTCTCGGCGGCGCGGCAGCAGCAGCAGCGGCACGGGGTCAGGTACAGGTAGATGAGCACCAGCACCACGCTCAGGATGCAGCCCACCAGCGTGGTGTAGGCCGTGTTCAGGGTGTCGTGGGGGCCGTGCAGGGTGAAGTTGTGCACCAGCAGCTCCACGTAGAGGGTCTCGTTGAGCAGCGGCCCCGCCACCCAGCACGCGTAGGTGCCCGCGTCCTCGGCCCGCAGCGCCCGCAGCTCCAGGCTGCCGTTGGCCAGCAGGGCCGCCGTGCCGTTGCTGCCGCCGTCCCCCGGCATCACCCTGTCCCCCGCCGGCGTCACCCAGTGGCGGTTGCCGTCCTGCCAGCGGCTGTCGCAGCCCAGGGTGACGCTGTCGCCCAGGTGAGCCTCCAGCACGGCCTCGCGTGCCTCGCTGCAGTTGAGGGGCTGCCGCCCCGCCAGCTCCAGGATGGCCATGGAGGTGTGCGGGGAGCCGGGCAGGTGGCACGTCAGCTCCTCCTGGAAGTCCAGCACGGCGCTGAGGCGGCGGCGGCGGCCGCGGGCGAGCAGCTGGAACAGGGCGCAGTCGCAGCCCAGCGGGTTGCCGTGCAGGTAGAGGCGGTCGCGCAGCCAGGCGGGCAGCGCCTGCAGCTCCCCGGCGGGCACGGCGCGCAGCCGGTTGGCCGACAGGTCGAGCAGCGCCAGGCGCGGCAGCCGTGAGCCCTCGCGCAGCAGCTCCAGCGGGAAGCGGGCGATGCGGTTGCGGCCCAGGTAGAGCTTGCGCAGCTGGCCCAGGTTCTCGAAGGCCGTGCGGTCCACGCTGGAGATCTCGTTGTTGTAGAGCAGCAGCACCTCCAGCTCGCCCAGGTCGCTGAACAGGTTCTCGTCCAGCGCGCGCAGGCGGTTGTTGGACAGGTCGAGGTGGCGCAGGCGGGGCACGGCCGCGAAGGCCTCGGTGGACACGAAGGCCAGCCCGTTGTGGCTCAGCAGCAGCGTGTGCAGGTGCGGGAGCCGCGCCGGGCTCCAGTCCCCGCGCAGCCGCGACACGTTGTTGTGGCTCAGGTCCAGCACGGAGGCGAAGCGCGGCAGCGGCGACGGAACCAGGCTCAGGTTGGCCTGTGAGCAGCTCAGCAGGTTGGAGGCGCAGATGCAGTGAGCGGGGCAGGACCCGCCCGCCGAGCCCCCCGGGCACAGCAGGGCCAGGGCCAGCAGCAGGGACAGCGGGGACAGCGGGGACGGCGGGGACGGGGCATCCCCGGGCACACCCATGGCTGCACAAGGGCACGGGGCAGCCGGGAGGACACCCGGGGTGGGGGACGGGGCGGGTTTGGTCACCCCGTGTCCCCGGGTGGGGTGGGTTGGTCACCCAGAGTCACAGTCCAGGGTGGGTTGGTCACCCTGTGTCCACGGGTGGGGTGAGTTGGTCACCCGGTGGCACAGCACAGGGTGGGTTGGTCACAGCATGTGCCAGGCTGGCTGGTCACCCAGTGTCACGGTCCAGGGTGGCTCGGTCACACGGTGTCACAGCACGTGCTGGGGCCGGGGCTCACCCAGTGTCACAGCCGGGGGGGGTCACCTGGTGCTGCAGAGTGCGGTGGTTGGGTCACCCAGAGTCACAGTCCAGGGTGGCTTCAGTCACCCAGTGTCACAGCCCGGCCGGGCTCGGGGCTCACCCGGTGTCACCGCGCTGGGTGGCTCTGCCACTTGGTGCCACAGTCTGGGGTGGCTCTGTCACTCAGTGTCACGGTGCCGGTGGCTGTGGCCCCTCAGTGTCACTGAGGGGGTGGCTTTGTCCCCCGGTTTCACGGCATGGAGAGGCTGAGGTCTCCTGGTGTCACACCGTGGGGTGGCTGTGGTCCCTCAGTGTCACACCGTGCAGTGTCTCTGTCCCTGATGGTCCCTCAGTGTCACACCGTGCAGTGTCTCTGTCCCTCAGTGTCACACCGTGCAGTGTCTCTGTCCCCGGTATCACACTGTCTCTGTCCCTCAGTGTCACACTGTGCAGTGTCTCTGTCCCCGATGGTCCCTCAGTGTCACAGTGTGTGGGGTGGTCGGTCCCTCGGTGCCACGGGTGCCGCGGGGTCACTTCCCACGCGGGTCACAGTGCGGGGTGGCCCTGTCCCCGCTGTCACGACATGTCCCCGCTGTCACGGTCCGCCCGGTTCCCCCGCCTCGTCCCTCCCCGGTTCCCCTCCCCCAGTCCCGGAGGATGCTCAGCCCCCCCACCCCCCACTCCCCGGGCGTTACCACGGGGGCCGGGCCGGGCCTAGAGCGGGGCCGGGCGGGGCCCAAGGAGGCCGAACCGAACCGAGCCGAGCGAACCCGAGCGGAGCCGAACCGGGCCAAGAGGAGCCGAACCGAGCCGAGCGGGGCCGAACCGAGCCGGGCGGAGCCGAACAGATCCGGGCGGAGCCGAGCGGGCTGGGCCGAACCGGGCCGAGAGCGGCCGAACCGCCCCGATCCTTCCCGATCCTTCCCGAGCGCAGCCGAACCGACCCGAACGGGCCCGGCCCGGCCCGAGCGGTTCCGATGGACCCCGAGCGGTTCCGATGGTCCCCGAACGGTTCCGAGCGGTTCCGATTCTCTCCGATCTTTCCCGACCGTCCCCGAGCGGCGCTGCCCGGACGGATCTGGGGGCGGGGCCGTCGTGCACGGTGCGTCCCCATTGGCTGCCCCGCGCCGCGCTCGGCCAATGGCGGCAGCGTTCGGGGTTAACCCGCGGAGAGCCGGGACCACCCGGGATCACCCCGAACCCACCGGGACCACCCGGGAT